TTTGTCTGGTGTCCCAGGACCTTCCTGTTCTTCACTTTTGTTCTGAGCACGCAGTGAAAAGCCTCTGACCACAGGAAGACGGGGAGATGCGAGCAGCCCCGGCTGCGGTGGGGGGCTGAGCTGGGGGGGGGCTGTCTGGGAGGAAGAGGAGGAGGCAGGAGCCCCGGTCCAGAACATCTCCCACGCTGGCATGGGTGGCCATATCCGGACCCCACCCTGGTGTGGGTTTCTCGTCTGCCCTTTAAATCCCACTGGGTTGAGGGGGACCCGTTGTGCTGGGCTCGGTAGGAGAAGGGACGTCGGCAGAGCGGCGTGTCCCTGCAGCGGTGCGTGGGAGGAGAGCCCGGCCGGGCTGGCACCGCCGCGGTGGCACTGCCAGGTGAGCGGCGCAGATGGCACAGGATGTGGCGTACCTCCGCGTGACGAGGGTGGCAGGACGTTAAGGGCTCCTCTGTCCCCAGCATGGGGCAGGGAGATGCTGGCTCCTGCATTTGCTGGTGGCTCTGCAGGGAAGGGTGACAGCTCCTGCGTGGTCCTGAGTGGGAAGGGGCAACGGGAGGGGGCTCTTGGCCAAGCCTGACGCTTTGTGTCCTCTGCAGTGCGTGGTGGCAAAGGGCGAGTCTTGATCCCCCTCACTCCCCAAGAAGAAGCTACGTGCCCTGGTGCCTCCGTGGAAGCTTTTCTCAACAGTACCCTCACCACCCGCCTCCTCCCTGCCCTCTACTCTGTGGTCGTGCTCGTGGGGCTACCGGCCAATGCTCTGGCTTGCTGGGTCCTGGTGACTAACTTCAGGAGATGTTCCAGCACACTCTTCCTGCTCAACCTGGCCAGTGCTGACCTGCTCTTCGTCCTAGTGCTGCCCTTTAAGATCTCCTACCACCTCTTGGGCAATCACTGGCTCTTTGGGGAGTACCCATGCCGAGCCATGGTGGCCCTCTTCTACGGGAACATGTACAGCTCCATCCTCTTCCTGACTTGCATTGGCCTGGAGCGCTACATCTCTGTGATGCACCCATTCCTGAGGAAGGGCTCCAGTTGGACAGGGGGCAAAGTGGGTGTCTGTGTGGGCGTCTGGCTGGTGGTGGGGCTAGGCATGACCCCTCTGCTTTTGAGCACCCAGACAAGTCATATCTCGAGCCTGAACATCACAACGTGCCATGATTTCCTAGAAAAGAAAGATCACGTGTACCTCATCAAGTATTTCCTCTCCCTGGTGGGGCTGGGCTTTGGCTTGCCCTTTGTGCTCATGACCATCTCCTACAGCTGCATCCTAGCACGGCTGCTGGCCAAGGGGAGACGCTATGGGCAGGTGGTGCGTGTCCTGGCCCTGGTCCTCCTGGTCTTCATCTTCTGCTTCACCCCCAGCAACGTGCTGCTCTTCATCCACTACGGGCTGGAGGACACGGGGTGCAACAATACCACCTACATTTTGTACACCCTGGCCCTGGTGCTCGGTGCCTTCAACAACTGCTTCGATCCCTTTGTCTACTTCTACGTCTCCCAGGATTTTCGGGGCTGGGTCAGGGATGCAGGCAGCTGCTGCCTGGGGGCTCTTGAGACCTTGGTGGGGAGGGCCTCGGAGAAGGCAGTCTTGCCCCTGAGGTCCAGCGAGCAGAGCCAGCTGTAGGCAGGGCTAGGGGGTGCTGGGCTGTGTCCCCCTGCCCTGGGGAGGGGGGATCCTGCAGCTTGGTGAGGAGCGTGAAGGGCTGCGCCATCCCAGGCTGGCAGCAGACTTGGGCAGAAAATCCCCTCCTGGATCTGAGGTTCACTAGGACTTTGCTCCAGTTTCGCAGTTCCTCTCATGTTGCTGGCAGTGCCCCTGTCCCATGGGTCCCCCATCTGGGTGCCTGGCCCTGGCACTCTCTTCTCCCCACCTGCCGGACCCCAGCACCCCTCACCGCTCCTCCTGCAGTGACCAAACCCTTCAGAGTACAAATAAACCTTTATTTCCCCTTGCTGGTTGAAGGAACAGGTATAAATACACCGGCTGAGCAGGAGCCATCCTCCATCGCCAGGACGACACGCCAGGCACACATGTCCAGCCCTGCTCCTGTTGCCCCCTGCCCCCTGCCCCGCAGATATGCCGCGGTAGACGCAAGAAATGGGGGCTGGCTCGGGTGTCCTGACCCTGCCCCACGGGCCCAGTGCTGAAGATGGGACATCATGCAGTGTTCCCCCACCGCTTGCCCCCCTGCCTGACACTGTGCCGTGCTGCCAAAACATGCAGGCACCACATCGGTGCTTTTGTTTTCCCTTTTACTTGCTTCCCTCGGTGCAGGGTCCGACGACAGATGTGCCACCCACAAGCGAGAGCACAGGTGGCAGCATCCCCAGCCTTCCCGAGAGGGGGTACCATGGCTCAGCATCCTGGTCCCCACGAGTCCCCTGGTCCTCACTGGTCCCTGTTCCCAGCCCAGCTCTGGGGTCAGGAGGAGGAGGGTGCGGGCTCCACGATGTGGGAGGGTGGGGTATGTATCGTCGCTGCCGCCAGGCACGACTTGACCCCCGGGTTGGTGGCCGCCCCTTCGGCACGGTGGGTCACGTCACTGGCTGGCCCGGCCCCGATGGCTGGCCCTCGTTCTTCCTGAGGATGATGCTGCTGAGCTCCTGGATGAGTTTGTCATTGATGGGTGAGGGAGGCTGCATGTTCCTCTTCCTGGAGATCTCCAGGGAAGTCTCTGCACTGGGACTGCTCCCCTGTGTAGCTGTCTGCTCCCAGCCCAGTGCCAGGGAAGGCTCCATGTTCCTCTCCAGAGAGGCTGTTTTGGTGGGTCTGAGCCCCTGGGCTGGAGCTTTGTCGCTCTCCAGGTTCAAGCCCCTTTCGAGGGACAGGGCTTTGGTGACAGAAGGACCTGCCACCCTCTGGGCTGGGCTGGCAGGCAGCGAGGAGCGCAGTGCTGCGGTCAGAGGCTGCTCGGGGAATGGGGCTGACTTCTTGGACCTGTCCACGGAGGGTACGGCTGACAAGTCTGCCAGCAACCCCTGCTCCAGCTTCAGCGTGGCCAGTTCGGGGAAGTTGCCCACCTCCTCGTAGACAGGATCAGTGTCCACCTCCTTCTCCTGCTGCTCTTCCAGGGAGTCCTGGTGCATCTTCATGGGCTGGGGGAGGGCAGGGAGTCAGGGTGAGGGGCACTGTCCACACCACTCAGCTGTACCCCTCCGTCCCCCCTCACCATGCCCTCCCTGCTCTTGGGGAGTGCCTGGGGAGCCTTGTCCTCTCCCCGTGGGGCTGATGCCTGCAGGTCTGTTGGCTCAGGCACTGTTGCCCTTTCCTCCCCCATCGCTGATGGAGGGTGAGTGTTTTGGCTCCCTTGGTTCCGAGCATCCCTTGGCCGAGGTGGTCTGGGGCAGGGAGCCAGATGGGCGCCCGTGCAGAGCACAAAGCCGGTGAGGTGAAGTTCAGCCAGGTGGCCCCCACGGAAATAACCTGATGGCAAGGAGGACCCAAACCTATTTCCTCGCATTTCTGATGATGATCCCCTCTGGGCAATGTGTGCCCGACGGGAGAGGCTCTGGGAACTGGGCTGGACTGTTGTGGTCTTGCCTGCACGCACTGGGACCATGCAGGGACCCCCATCCCGGGCTACGGGACACACAGAGCAAATGGGCACCCACTCCTCTGGCACAGAGGGTGGGCAGGATGGCCCAGCCCTGTCTCGGAGTGCAGGTGGGATGCTGCAGGCGAGCCCTTGCTGCCGTAGCCGGGAGGCACGGTGCAAAGCCAGCGACGGAGGCACTCTGCGTGTGCGGGTACTTACAAAGAACATGGACAAAGTCCTTCGTGTGTGCAGGCGGCGCTAGAAACAGAGGAGACAGGCAGAGGTAAGCGCGGAGCAGGGTCACAGATGCCTCGGCAGGCAGAGAACAGGGGCGCGGCACCCCACGTGCCCTCACCGGGCCCTGCACGCCTGGAGAGCTGCCACAAATACGAGCACAGCATGCAGCACGCACACACTGCTGAGCACAGGGACACCCCCAAAGCACCCCCCCCGTGCCGGGTGGCGTGCACCCGCCTCCAGGGCCCTGGGGTGGGCGCACGGTCTCGGGATGGACCCATGTGGGTGCAGGAGCACCTGTGGGCAGGGGTAGTGGCAGGGGGTTTACCAGGGTCTGGTTGGCGGAGAGCATGGTGGCGTCGGTGCTGTCCCCGTGCAGGGGCACCAGCGGCATGGTGCCGAACTTCTGCTTGGCGAGGTCGGAGGAGGAGCGCCGGCGCATGATCACAGGGTGCAGGTCATCGTGCTGTGCACAAGGACAGGGCAGGGAGAGGGGTCATGCCAGGCTGCTCTGCCAGCCCCCTCCTGTCCCAGCCCAGCCCAGCTGGGTGGCACAGGCAGCCCGCACCCACCTGAGCCTTAAGGATGCTGGTGGTCCAGTCCCACAGCTCAGCCTGCCCCGAGCACACCAGGTACCTGCAGAGGACTCAGCTGAGAAGCTGCCGGGGAGCAGAGCCAGTGAGGCCCACGCCCCCTTGCCGCCTTGCCTGTGAGCCTGGGGCT